TGTGACTCTTACTTTTGTCCCTATTTCCTGCCTCTGTTTCTAGTTATCATTGGACCGCAAATCCAATTTGAAGATTTAGAGTCCATGTGATCAGATTTTCTGTTTTTGCTCATTCCCAATTTTTGTTCTACGTAAATTAAGCTTTGTGTTGACATCCGAGTTATTAAAACAGTCCCATAGGGTTTCAGCAGTTTGTTTACTGGCTTGGCAAGACAGTTTATTTACTGGTTTGGCACCTCCTTCAATACAATCTGACATTTATGACTCATTCCCTTATATAAGATCTGTCATGTCCTTTAGAAGACTCAGGTGAGCACATTTGACAGTTCATTTCTTCTCAATGTTCTCTGCCTGCTCTGTTTGCAAGACAAAGAGAGAAATGCCAAATGACAGCAGTGTTACCCATAACATGAGCACTATCAATGTCACCTGGAAACTGGTACAAAAAGCAAATTCATGTGTCCATCCTAGTCCTGGTCAATCGGGATCTCTTAACAAGCAGTCTAGTAAAGTGTTTTAACAAGCCCTCCAGGTGACCGGGGCAGCTTCTCAAAACTCTAATGCCCATGACACATGCAGATCAATAAAATCAGACTTTCTAGGCTGGAAACCCAGAAATTAGCATTTTTAAAAAAGCCCCAGATGGTTTACTCTGTGCAGCCCAAGTTGAGAATCTGTACAATAAAGGAGATGGGAGAGCTAACCATCTGTAGATTTTACAGTAATTCCCTGCCTCTACAAAATAATGGAAATACCCTTGGAGTGATTTCTAACATATTTCCCAAGGACATCATCTTTTGGAATGATAATGAACAACAAGAATAATAGTAAATTATCATAATTCTTTTTTGAAATCTTGAGTGAATAAAAAAGTCCTTCACAGGAGTGGCTTGTGGTAGATATCCGAGTGTAAATTGTGTGTTCATAACAAGTTTCAATCATTTCAACAGATGAATAAGACAATACCACCATAGGCAAAATGGTATTTTCTTCCCAAGGTCAAATTAGATGACATGTATAAGTTGAAAATCAAAGAAATGACTTTAAGGTATCTGTTTTCTATTACTGTAATTATGGATAGTGACGACTGTCCACTTGCTATTAACATTTCTACAACTCTGTGATTTGTGGCTAAGCATTCAAGTCCACTTGATGGTGTGGTGATTTTAAGCATGGCCAAATGATCAGAGATAAAGGAAAAGTGTTGAAATGGGGCATTTCTGAAGGCTTGGGAGCATAGCTCTCATTTTTGGAAGTTGTAAGCAACAGTGTGACTTTAATTGCCTGTGGTTATGTTTACAAGTCCAACTAGCTTGACCATATTTGGCTGAATTAATAGCTGGCCGATTCATTCAGTCCATCAATTTGCTTGAAGTTAAATGTGATTTAAATAAAATTAATCAACTCTGTCCTCCCAATTGACAAATTTCTTTTAACTTGAGAATGATGCAAAGGTCACCAAAAGCATGCACTATGGTAACATCGCCATTTTGTGATGACCTTTAGATGAGAACTCTATATACATCTGGAAAACAACTGAGAGTCAAGGGATGTTTTTTCCTTAAAGACAAGAATCAAAGGAAGCCATGTAAAACCCAAGCTGCTTCAGAAAAAAAGTTCTGCTTCTAGTCCCAAAGGTAAAGTTCTTTACCATAAAATAAGGTACTCAGCATTAGAAGATAGAACAACTATGAAAATAGGAACAGCCTAAGTATCCATAATCAGAGAAAATGGAGAAAATTCATAATAAAATTGGCAACATTTCCAGAAAAACTAGAATACCAGAGTCTCTGGGCTTAAATAGTATATATTCCAATATTGCCTGGGCAACACCACATCCTAAGACTTAGTACTGGCCAAATAGGAGAAGAATTAACATCAAGTGTCCTGGAGCATCTCTTTGTTTCTTGAAAAAAAGATTCCATATTTTACAGTTTTGTGTACCTACCCATCTTGGGACCACATGTAGTCTACCCAGAATTTTACAAAGTATATGATTCAGCAGCTGGTGCAGTTACACAGGAGGTTAAAGCCCCAGCCTGCAGAACCATTATGGGCGCTGGTTCGAGTCTGGCTGCTCCACTTCTGATCAGTTCTCTGCTATGGCCTGGGAAAACAGTGGTAGATGGCCCAAGTACTTGGGCCCCTGTACCATGTGAGACCCAGAAGAAGCTCCTGGCTTAGGATCAGCTCAGCTCTGGCCATTATGGTCATTTGGGGAATGAACCAGTTCATTCTCTCTCTCTCTCGCTCTCACTCTCGCTCTCGCTCTACTTCTTCTGTTATTCTGTCTTTCAAATAAATAAAATGATTTTTTTAAAAAGTCTATTATTCATACTATTAGTGGAACATGGAGAATTTTACAGTCATAGCATTTTTTTTTTTTTTTTGGACAGGCAGAGTGGACAGTGAGAGAGAGAGAGAGAAAGATCTTCCTTTGCTGTTGGTTCACCCTCCAATGGCCACCGTGGCCGGCACACCACACTGATCCGAAGGCAGGAGGCAGGTGCCTCTCCCGGTCTCCCATGGGGTGCAGGGCCCAAGCACCTGGGCCATCCTCCACTGCACTCCCGGGCCACAGCAGAGAGCTGGCCTGGAAGATGGGCAACCGGGACAGAATCCAGCACCCCGATAGGGACCAGAACCCAGCGTGCCGGCACCACAAGGTGGAGGACTAGCCTATTGAGCCACACTGCCGGCCTACAGTCATAGCATTTAAAATTGTGAGCTCAGGATAATCCCTGAAAGGAGTACAGAAGCTCCCAGGCTACCTCCTTTTCCACCCTAAATCCTGTCCTGAATCGCAATGGGTCTCACATGCGTGTCTGTGGACTCAACAACTCACATATCTAAGGACTGGATGCATTGTTCCTACCTAACAGCCCCACTATACCCATTCTACCTACGTAAGGGTGCATACACCAAAAGCACAGCTCATCTTCAGAAGGACAATCATAGGGGAACCTTGGGTAGCTGGAGTGAGTAGTGGATTTCTAGACTGAATGGTATTTGAAAAGATTTTTCCCTTTGACTCCATAGTCTACGCTCTCCATGTGTAGGAAACATCTGGAGGACAGCAAAAGCAGGGCTCTCTGAATTTTGCCCAGGGAAAGAGCCCAGTTGCTATGGTCCAAGGATCTATAGTCTATTTTACCTCCAGCAAATGTTCCCCCAACAGGAACTCATCAAAGACCAAGATGCTCATTACTTCATAAAGTAGTTCAGTATTTAGCATGGCTCATAAACTCAAAAAAGCTGCAAGAGCCAGGAAGTAACATAGATGAGGGAAGGATGCTGATGCAGGTCCAAAGAAAGTTGTAAGGAATGTGCTGAGCTGGAAAGTACATCTCTTTTCCAAAGGAAATAGTCTGCAGGCCAGGGGAGTTTGAACTCACTGTTGCTGGATCTTTCAGTTTTAAAAAAGGGCCAGAAATCTAAATTGTACAGTTTCTTGATTCTTAAATGTTAGCAACTCACTCAAAATTTGCTTTAAACATACTGTGATACCAAAAAGCCACATCTGTTTGCAGATTTTAGCCCACGGGCCATCGGTGTGCAACCTCTGAATAAAAGCTTACTTCATTAAGTTGTATTGAAATCTACTTCCTGGAGGATTCCACGCATCTGGAGTGACCAAGAATCTTTCTTCCATTTTTCTTATTTTGAAGTCACATCACATTGTCCCTCCTCTTTTGGAGGCTACTTGGCCTAAACAACTTTAATACTCTGTCTACAATATAGCTTCCATGTCCTACAGGGTCACAATTGTCCACCTCAGGGAGGAACACCCCCTACTGCCAATCTGCAATACAATGAGCAAAATGCTTCAGAGATTTCAGAAATGATTGTTTCTCCTTGCTAGCAATTATTTTTCTTAGTTTTGCATACCAGAGTCCAGAAAAGGAAATGATGATTCACTCATCATGCTTCTTGTACAAGGCTGGTGATTTCAGTAAGTGGATGGAAGGCTAACACTGTGAACAGCATTCTTGATTAGCTGGAGAGTGTAAAATGAGGTGTGTACTTGATCTACTGTCAGAGGCGCAGATGGAATACAGCAACTATGACACGGTAGAGGTAGGACTTAATGGATCATCCTGAAGTGCCTGGGAATGATTAGCCGTGGTGCAGCTACATGCAGTTTTTAATTGATTGATTTGAGTTTGTGGTCAGAAAATGACTGTCGGCTCCAGCTTATCTATAATTATCAGTAATCAGAAACAGACCTCTCTCTCCTTAATAGGGCTGGGTTTCTCCAGAATGCTTGACTTTCCTACTTTTCCGACTTTCTGTAACCACTGCCTAAAAGCTTTCATAGCCATAACATGATACCTGGTGACCACTGGGAAAAAGACTCTAAGAGAATGAATATGAGGGTAAAAGGAAGGCTGCTCATTCATTAGTTTAATAGTTTGACTACTTTGAGTTCAAGACAGTTTTGAATTAATAGGAGGTCTCTTATCCACAATTTAGCTGGTCTATTATAGGCAAAAACCAAATGAAGGATTAAAAAAATTTCTGTAATCCAACTCAATTTTTTTTCTTAACCTAAAAAATGATCTCGACACTAATTAAAGGCTGGAACTATTTCTAGGAGTCAGAGTAAGAGTAATTCTGTGTAAAGTCCTACTAATGTTCCAACACACCACTAAAATTAGAAACCTGGAAATCATTCTAGACCCTTTATTCTCCTTAAAGCCTCATATCCTCCACCACATTCAAACACCAACTCACACTTATTTCACCTTTTGGATTTGTGTGACCTCAGAGCAGGTGTCTTAGAGTCACCCATAGACCTGGGTTCAAATCTTGGTGGCACCAAGATGGCATCTCTTACAAGCTGTGAGACCTCATTCTCTTCTTTATGCCTCATGTTCCTCAGTTCCATCAGAGTTACTATTCCTACCTTCATGAACATTAAATCACAATGAAATGAGAGTGCACAATCAGATGCAGTGTTTGATATGTATTATTTAAAATATTATTTATTATTATGGTTTTACTATGTCTATATCCCAACCAGTCCAAAACAATAATTCTCATGGTAGATAAGTAGAGGAAGGGAGGGAGGAATGGGATAGCCTCGGACAGCTACCTTCATTGCCTCTGAAGTTGTATGAGTTCCTCTTGCTGTCACCCTAGTACTAGGACCAGCCATTTAAGAGTTCTAGCTGTGGCAGCGGTGTCACTGAAGCTAAAAAGGTGTGTCAGCAGGTATCCACCACTCTGTGCTGGTGCAGAGTCATAATCCATGGAGCTAAATTTTCTTTTACTTCTTTTTTTAGTGACCTTTTAAAAAAAAAAAAACAAGATTAATTTTACAGGTAGAGAAAGAGAGAAAGAAACAGAGTGAGAGTGCCCACCTGTTGTTCACTTCCTAGATGCCTGCCAACAATCAGGACTGGACCGAGATCCAGAGCCAAGTGGGTGTTAAGAATCCAATTGCTTCAGCACAGAGCACTGTCTCCCAGCAAAAAGAACTAGAATCTCTCAGAAAAAGTAACACAATGAGGAAAATAAGTTGAAACTGGATGTGAGAGAAGAGCAGAAAAGGTTATATTTTGTGAGTATAACTATGAACAAGGTACATCAAGCAGATCTTTAATATGTGCTAATTTAATTATGTTGTGTACTACTGATAGCAAATGACTCACAGAACTAAAAATGACAACACAAATACAGTATCTCTTACCCAAAATGCTTGATACCAGAAGTGTTTGAAATTCAAATTTTTTTTTAGTTTGGGGGATTTTTGCATATACATCGAGATATGTTATTGAGGGAACCTAAGTCAAAGCATAAAATTATTTTTCATATACACCTATACACATAGCCAAAAAGTCATTTTATACAGTGCGTTCAGTGTACCTACATCTTGACTGTGACTCTTCTCATGAAATCAAGTATGGAATTTTCTACTTCTAGTATCATGTGGGTGCTCAAAAAATTTTGAATTTTGGAGCATCAGATTAAAGATATTTTGATTAGGGATGCTCAACCTATGTTTGGAAATCTATGGCCTAATCAGGAAAAATGATACCATATAGCAGCAGCTACAAGCAAGGATGTGACTCATAGCAAGGGATCTACAGGACCCAGGCCCATACTTCAATTGTTGTCCCTTTGAAAGGTCTTACCAGGACCTTCCTTCTGGAAGCAGGAGGCACTGACATGTGCAAGGAACATGTAAAACCAGTGAACCTGCAATGGAGGCCAAGTCTGGGTTTCTCATACTCTACTGGTCACAGAGATATTCCTGCTATGTAACCAGCTCCAATGGCAGAGATCTGCTGTCTGCCTGAGATAAGGTGCAAACCATCACTGTCACTGTCATCAATCAGCAATGCTAATAAGAGGGCACAAGCCTCCCTGGACTCCTCGGACAATGGTTCTAAAGCTACACCATTAATCTGTACTTTTTATGTTTTGGCTCACCTGCAGTCGCCCTTATTCCTCTTCAAGGCAACTTTGCCTTCTGTGTTCCATCTGACTTCCCTTCTTGGATATGCTGGATAATTAGGTCATGCACATGCAAAGATGGAAAGAAGTAAAAAGGTGATCTGCCTTGTCCAGTCTCAGAAAGAAATATCTGCAAGTTAAGGACTTCCACTGCCAAATGTAATCACTTCTTAGCATAATTCCTGCACCTCATTAGACTAAGCATAGCCACCTCCTTTCTTTGCCTTGACAAATATCTCATGCAGTTATCCTATCTTGGTATAGGTGACTGTGAAGGAGTGGAGAGAAGAAAATTGTCCGGCCACTCAATTAAGGAAAAAAGATACTTAGAAGATTTAAGTAACTTACCTATCCCCAATCCTAAAGACATTTAACTTTTGAAACTCTTCCACTTCATGAACTCCCCACTCTGATCTAAACCAAATTCATGCATTTCATCAAAACATCTCATATCTTTCACTGGTTTCAAGCTCTGGCCAGTGTACTACCAGCCCCTGCAACATTTCTGTGCCGATCAGGAAAAATTCCCTTCCTCTGGGCAGGTGCAGACCCATACAGTCTAGAGCCCAACCTTCATTTCCACTGGGCATGATGCCCTGTGCTGATCACAGCCTGCACAACTGATCATGCCATCCCTTTATATGGCTGGGCAATTAAGATGGCTCCCATCTTTTCCTCTGAAATATATTGTCAACATTTTAAATTAGAGATGTCAAAACCAGAGAATATTAAGCTCCTCATTAAGCCTTTTCCCATTTTATCCATTACCATCCATGACACTCTCAGACTCCCCTGCTCTCACCCGGGGAATCAATGTTTGCTCAGCTGGCTTCTCTTCACCCTCACATCCAGATTGACACCACATCTTTCCAACTCTCCTTTGAAAAATAACAAGCATGCTTCTCTCTACAACGACAAGCCTGTATTAGCCTGTGGATTTCATTCCTCGACTCCTGAAACTGATTCCCAGTCTGTTTTATATTTTAGCCTCTTACACTTCCAAGGTTTCCAACACAACAAGAATTATATTTCTTGGGCACCCTTTTTAATGGTGTTAATCCCTTTCTCAGAATACTGCATCTGCTATAAAAAGAAAATGCACAGGTTTGTTTATTCTTTACCAGTTTGAACACCACAAAAATTCCCCATCTTAGACAGCATTGCCATACACTGGTTTGTCCAGCAGCAGACCTGAGATGAAGATAAATAAGCTTCTAGGGCATTCCCTTGTGATCAACGCCTGTGAAAAGGAGAAGGCAAATAGGACTGAGCCAAGGGAGAAGTTATATTATGATAGATCTCAGCCTTAGCCCATTTCACTGGGTGACCTTGAGCTGTAGGTCCCCATCACATCTGGTTTACTTAGAGTTAAAATGACCCTGCATTACTCACTTGCATGGGGGCCATCTGCAGAAGAGTATGATCAGCAGCTCAGAAAATCTCAAAGTGCTTGAGCCCAAGGGCCTAGCTACTGATTGCACTTTCAGCACCTGGGAACATGTCCTGCCCTGAAGGGGCATCTGGAATGCCCATTGCTATGTCCACCATTATCTATCCCTCATGCCAGTTGGCTCCACCTTCTTCCATAAATCAGGCACCAGTTTATTTCAGGATGCATTTCCTCCTAGGGAAAGCAGAGAAAAGAGAAGTTAGTGGGACAAAAGGCAGCCCCTGTTCCTATACCAGGTCATCTTCTCCTGCATCCTTATAGATTCCCTCATGCCAGTCAGCCCTTCTGCTGGCTTCAGTGGCTCAATTGGTGACATGGACTGGACACTCGTTTCAAAAGCCTCTGAGATCCTGGTTACTACATCCTGGTCACGTATAGACTGTTTTCTCAGCACTCAACCCTATGCCTTCTGAATTTCTCATTTGGGAGTCTTAGCCCAAATTCTCCATTTCTGCTTTGTCCATTCAGCTTTTACTCTCATTTTCTCTTTCCCTGCATTGCTTATTAGGTGACTCTACTTAACTTCTCTAGTTATTTCCTTTGCCTAGCCTGTCACTTCTTCTCTAACTCCTCTGTTCATGTGTAGGACTGTATACAAATGCATTCTCTTCTAAGAGGCATCACAGAGAGGTAGAAAATCCATGAATCATAGCATCTTCTCAAATATTAAAGGAATAAAAGGAGTGAGGAAGATGGGAGACATAAGCTGGAAAGTCGAGAATTTTCTTAGAAATTGGGATGATTGGGAAGGGAGGGAACAAAACTGCCCAGCCTCAAAATATGGAGTGAACACTCAACTAGAAAACCACAGAGTCCCCATTCAAGAGACAGTTTGCTGGTGTGTGTTTGGGGGTGTCCTAGCACACCAACATCATGGAGATGGAGACTCCTGCTTGCCAGGAGGGGTACCTAAGGGAAGAGTCCATGAAGATCTGGGTCTGGAGCTTATATGAGGACTGCACACCAATTGATCAATTCTTCTACATAGTTTTTTTTTTTTTTTGACAGGCAGAGTTAGACAGTGAGAGAGAGCGAGACAGAGAGAAAGGTCTTCCTTCCGTTAGTTCACCCCCAAAATGGCTGCTATGGCAGGCGCGCTGCATCCATCCGAAGCCAGGAACCAGGTGCTTCCTCCTGGTCTCCCATGCAGGTGCAGGGCCCAAGCACTTGGGCCATCCTCCACTGCCTTCCGGGGCCACAGCAGAGAGCTGGACTGGAAGAGGAGCAACCAGGACAGAATCCAGCGCCCCAACCAGTACTAGAACCCGGGGTGCCGGCGCCACAGGCGGAGGATTAGCCTAGTGAGCCGTGGCGCCAGCTATCTTCTACATAGTTTTAATATGTCAGGGATCTGCTTTGTGTTTTTCTATCTCTAGGTTAGCAGTCATAGTTACTGACCAGTTAACAAACATTACCTTGCTGACCACTTGAGAAATGTGCCATTTGGGAACAAGCTGCATTGTGTTATACTCCAGTCTATTGTCAGAGCCTCATTTTTTTCACAGCTACCTGTGGGCATGGGACCCATTTGTTCCCTATTAAAATTTTCTTAGGGCAATGTCCTTCATTTAAGCTGCAGCATACAAACACCTGGTTCCTCATTCCCACAGGGTCTTTCCTAACTGCCTATTAACCCTTCTAACTCTTCACAGTACAATGATCAAGTGCAATATGAATCTGCAAAAGGAGACTGAGGGCTGTGCAGAATTTGTGTATCTTTGATTAGCACAAGATGCGTGCCTAGTAAATTATTCCCTTTTTAACTTATGGAAAGAATGGAAATACTGCCAGTATAAGTACGCAGCATTATGGTAACACATATTCCACTGTGCTGCCCAATTCCTAGTGGTATGAAAGATTTTCTAACTATGGTAGCACCGAATTGGTTAAAAATGCAAAAAGCAACTAATTGTGAAATGTGAATAATTAATCAATTTGTTCAACAGGGTAAAACTCCCTAACACTCTTTTAAAAAAAATATAATTAAACATAAAACCTAAGTCCTGCAAATATCATATGTTCTCCCTGATCAGTGACAACTAACTGAACACCAAAAAGAAAACCTGTTGAAGTGAAATGGACACTATGAGAAACAATGACTTGATCAGTCCTTGTCCTGACTGTTGAGGAACAACTTAATACTTTATCCTTTTTAGGATTTTTTTTTTTTTGTTCTACTTAACACTATTGGTTGAACTCTTTAATTAACACAAAATTATTCTTAGGTGTTAAAGTTTAACTGAAAAGTGATCCCTGTTAAATATAAGAGTGGGAATAAGAGAGGGAGGAGATGTACAGTTCGGCACATACTCAATTGGACTTGTCCCTAATGGTAGAGTTAGAAACACGCCAGGGGATTCCAATTCAATCTCAAGGTGTCATGTACCAATGCCATCTCACTAGTCAAAGTGATCAGTTTCAGTTCATAGTTGATCATAATGATAGGACTAAGAGTCAAAGGGACCACATAAATAAGAATAGTGTCTGCTAATACTAACTAATGGAATTAAAAAGGAGAGAATGATCCAGCATGGGAAGCGGGATACACAGCAGACTCATAGAATGACAGATGTCCTAAACAGCACTCTGGCCTCAGAATCAGCCCTTAAGGCATGCGGATCCGGCTGAAAAGCCCATGAGAGTATTTCAGGCATGGAAAACCAAGACACTCTATAAAAAAAAAAAAAAATGAACCACATGAAAGATCTCTGTGAGTGAGATCCCAGTGGAAAGAACGGGTCATCAAAGAAGGAGGTACCTTTCTCTGAAGGGAGGAGAGAACTTCTACTTTGACTATGATCTTGTCTAAATATGATCAGAGTCGGTGAACTCAAAAGGCTTCCATAGCCTTGGCAACTCATGACAAGAGCCTCAGATGATTACTGATGCCATAAACAAGAGTGTTAATTTGTTAAGTCAACAACAGGAGTCACTGTGCACTTACTCCTCATGTAGGATCTCTGTCCTTAATGTGTTGTACTATGTGAATTAATGGTATAACTAGTACTTAAATAGTACTTTACACTTTGTGTTTCTGTGTGAGTGCAAACTGTTGAAAACTTTACTTAGTATATACTAAATTGATCTTCTGTATATAAAGAGAATTGAAAATGAATCTTGATGTGAATGGGATGGGAGAGGGAATGGGAGATAGGATGATTGTGGTTCGGAGGGAGGTTATGGGGGGTGTGAGTCACTGTAATCCAAAAGCTGTACTTTGGAAATTTATATTTATTAAATAAAAGTTAAAAAAAAAACCTAAGTCCCAGATCACATAAACACCAATATGATATTCAAATATTTTGTGTACTTTATAACCATTTTAACTATAAAATGTACATGAGTAACTAATAGTTTACTACTGTATAGTTTTGTAGTATTTATGGATATGCATATATTTTCTTATGCCTTCTTCATATCATCTCCATTTAAAAATTATTTATTCATTTGATGAGCATTTATTATATATCCATTGTGTATGTATGGAATATAATAATAAGACAAAATCCACCCTTATAGAATATACCTGCTATTAAAGAAGAAAGAGCAGTTTAGAAAATAATACAATTTCAGACGGTAATATTATACTCTGAAGAAAATAAAGCAAAGCAAGGGGGCAGAGACAAAGGCAGCTATTTTAGATTCAGTAGTAAAAACCTCTTTGGGGCAGTAACATTGAGATAGAGATAGGAGGATTCTTCAAAAAGTTCATAGAAAATGCCTATTTAAAAGAATTTATGCATGGATTTCAAAACTTTTCAGTGTCAAAATAAATTATCTTTAATTCCATTTTCCATTAGCCTTTTTAAAAACTCTCCTGGAGCTTATATAAAATCTCTGTCAGTGAAAATGCCTTAAGGTAAGGAGACATTCTTTCAGGGAAAAATGAGCTTAGCAAATGAATTGTTTGCAAAACAGCAAGAACTAGACAAGTATATGAGTAGCAGAGTGAGTAGGAGGTGGAAGGATCCAGGGATCACAAGTGATTGCAGATTAGGTAGAAGAAGTAAACAGCTCAAGGTCATATGGCATTCTGAAGGTCATGGTAAAGAGTTTGTATAGTACTCCATGCAATAGGAAGGAAATGGAGAGGTTATGGTAAGGAAGTGATGCGATTTAATGCATACTGAAAGGATCAATCTGGCTATTCAGACAAGAAGAGATTAGGCAAGAATAAAGGAAGAGGATTAACGTGGAAATTATTTGAAGGCTAATTAATTCTCTCTTTTTCATTTTTTAAATGACTCTTTTACACTGCTAGTGGGAGTGGGGATTTATTTTAAAGATTTATTTATTTATTTGAAAGTAAGAGTTAGGAGACAGAGGGAGAGACAGACAGAGAGCTCTTCTATCCATTGGTACACTCAGCTGGTCAAAAAGGCCAGACCAAAGCCAGGAGCTTCTTCTGGGTCTCCCACATGGGTGGCAGGGGCCCAAAGCACTTGGGCCATCTGCTGCTATTTTTCCCAGGCTGTTAGCAGAGAGCTGGATTGGAAGTAGAGCAACCAGGACACAAACAAGCACCCATATGGGATTCCAGCATCACAGGTGGCAGCTTTACCTGCTATGCCACAACACCGGCCCCAGCTCTTTAATTTTCTAGGCAAGAAATGTGAATGCCTTTGATTTGGGCAGCAACTATGAAAGGAAGAGAAGTGGCTGCATGTATTTAAAAGCAGAGTCAACAGGACTTGGTAATAATAGGTAAGAATCAAGGGGAAATGGCACATGCAGGATAATCATAAAACATTTACCTGAAAGGTTGGATGCTGCTAACTAAGATGGGAATAGACACCCATTAAAATTAAAATACTTTTCCACAATCACATTTTAAGTTCCAGAAGCAAGATCAGGTTTAGATCTTTCTAATTCTGCAATACTTTTGGCTTGGTGAAATGAATAATGACCAAAAATTTATTTATTTATTTATTTATTTATTTATTTATTTAAGTCTTTTTCAACTATAAGTTTCTCAATGACAAGAATTTGGTGATATGTGATATATAAACTTAGACATGAAAAGCACATTAATAATGCTTTTTTGAGAACATTTGAAACAAGACATGACAAGTCTATGGGCCCCATGCTTAGCTGGGGCCATCATGCTTAGCTGGTCCATCAAGCTGCTTCTTTTAGAAGGCTGTAGATACCGCCTATCTTATTGGCTTAAGTTC